GGTCTAAACTGAAATTTGGCAGAGTAGGTGAAGGAGACACACTGAACACAAAAATGGAAATAAATGATGTACGGAAATTTTGATCTCAGGGGCACTTTAACAGTTAGATGATTTCTTCCAGAGTGAAAGCTCTAAGCCTTGGGTAGTTTCAGTTCACCAGTGACAAAGGTACCCATTAGTAGCAGTAAGGGTTTGACAGTTCTTTCACTTTTTTCTTTGAACCATTTTATTGAAGTATTTGTAAAGGACACTTACATGATTGGGTTTCCAAGCTGTAACCAGCTTTCCAGATGGCTGTCTCTTTATTTGCACTCTGCTCTAGGAATTAGTTAATGTACTGTGTATGTGTTAAAAGTATATGACCCACTATCTTGTTCTCCTTGATTTATAATAGTGTAATGGTTATACAAGAGATTAACTTCAGTGTTACTTATCTGCTTCCATTTTAATTCATTACTTAGCCATGTGGAGCCAGTGGAATGATCATGTCTTGGGATGGTGGGAGCACAGACATGATTCCAATGTCCTGTTCCTTAAATATGAAGATCTTCAAAAGGTATGTGCATTCAAATTATGTCAACATCTCATACTTCCAGCTGATGACTGGTGGTGGTTTGTTGGAGTACTGTAAATCCAGCTTTATATCTGATTCTATAAGTACAAAATATACAAATAACAACAGTAACAAACATGAGATTGACAACAATACAAAGAATAACCATTTTAAGAAAAACATAATTATTCTCAAAACTTAAATAAACAAAATGTAGTTAACACATCCCTATTTAAAAATGTACTTGATATTTTCTTAGTTCCTGAATGAAGGAATCAAATCTCAAATACATTTTTAATGAGATCTTTGGGAAAGAAGTTATTGTGTATAACAATCAGATTTGGTTCAAAATAGGAACCTTACTTGCCAGGAATAAAGTTACTCAACAAACCACTGGTATTGGAGAATTTACATGAATCAGAAAGTAACCACCAGATACAAAATAATAAACTCTACCTTCATTGGTCAAGACCAAACTTGATATTCAGGGCCAGAAATTTTCTAATTGCATAAGACTTACCTAACTTTAAGTTTATTACAAGAATTTAACCAAAGGAGAGAGTCTCAAGTCCCCAGAAAAATGCATTGGGCTGATAACCAGTTCATTTATTGGGTTTGTTTACAAATCAATGCAACATTCTTGCTTATGGTTGGCAATTCACTAATTTCTACTGTTCAACTTGAAATGATCCCGCAACCTTCAGTTGACAGTTCATTTATTTCATCTTTTTAAGAAAACTAGCCTGAGATTTGTGAATGGGTTGCTGTCCTCTATTCCCACACATTTCATTGTGGCTATGTGGTAGAAATGACAATAGGCAGCTGTTACAACAAATTTTGGGGACCAGCATTTCATTCACAGTGTGGGGTTCAGTCCCCTCGTGTCAACATATAAAATTTTTATTTCAGTGTTTGCACAAAAAGTTTTAGTATGTTACATACTTTGGTGTTGTGTGTCTTTAAGCTGCTTCTCGCGTTCTTTCAAGTTCCAAACCATCGGGTGTGTTCAAAGTTTTCATTTGGCGGTGTTTATTTGTTTTATTAATTTGTTTATGTCATTTATTTTCTGTAGTTAGATTTAGTGCAATTTAATTTTGTTTTAGTATAATTTCAGAGCTGAGAAAAGAGTTTCCAGCAATCTGATTAGTCAAGCTTTTCCTTATGTGATGCTATTTAAACCGCTTCATGTGGTTTATATAAAATGAATAGTGAATAGGCAAACATGTAAATAGTTAAGATATTTTTATTATTCTTATAGTAATTGTAGTTTTAAATTTAGCCCTTTAATTCAGTTAATTCTGCAATGTGGCAAATAAACGATATATTATTATTATAAAATCATAATGTTAAAGTAAAATGTTAATAAATGTTGCTAAAATGTTATGATTTTAGAAATTTCTCTGTTGTTTAGCTCTGAAATTATACTAAAACAATTATTCGCCTCAGACTCGGTGAATATTCAGGTTCGACGATATTCACCTCGCCTTCGGCGAATAATTGTTAAATAGAAACCACTGGTCAAGAAATAAATTTATATGGTTTGGACAGCCATTGCATAATGTTACCTATGTGTGCATCACAATGGCAATTTATCAATTAAACTTCTCATCTGTAGACCAGTAAAAAGTTTTGTCCCTTACTGGATTTTCTTCTGTATAGGAATAAAGCTATCGCTCTGAGGAAAAAAAAAAATATTCTGTGGGAAGTTATGCCACACTAAAGTAAAAGTATGATGCATTTAGGAAGAAATAAACTCTTAAAGAACAGGTTTATTCTTGGGGTGATGCGAAAATATGATTTATCTATTTTATTAATTCATTTTCTGATTGGTTCATTCAGGAACAAAGATACCTAAAATATCAATTATATTTTAAAACAGTAATGTGCATTTAAAATGGGAATGTGTGAATTATAGTGATATTTCAACTTTTCAAGAGGATTATGAAATGCATGAGAAGAGTTTGATACATGTACAGGGACCCACATTTACTCAGACATGGGAAAGAAACATTGTAGTCAGATAATACCGGTACAATTAAGTAACTAACAATTAAAATGCCTTATTAAAATGGTACTTTAAGTTAAGTTTCCATCATACAGATGCCTACAGAGATGGCCCCCATATTTTTTCATTCTCTGAATTTTTTATACACTGTATACAGGTGTATATCTTAGTAAACTTTTTTTTGTATAATATCACTGAGTATTTTTTACGAGTTGTGCCATATTTTGACAAGCTCGTAATGTGAGTCAAGAAA